ACACAAGTTTCGGTTTAGTTTCGTTTTCGGCGGCAAACTTGCCGAAACTACGACCGAAACCGAATGTGCATTCGGGAGTTTCCGCTCTGTTATTCGCCATGTTCGGCGCGTTGAATGAGTGAATGAATCCGATCAGAGCCAATTTCGTGATTCGCTCGCTTGTTTGTTTGCTGTTAGTTTTGTTTTGTTGTTAATGGTGGCGAGTTTTCGAGTGATTTATTTTGAATTTGGTAAGTTTTATATCGTTATATGGCGATGGAGCGTGCTATGCTCGGAGTTTCCCTACGTGATCGAATCAGAAATGAGAAGATTCGTAGGAGAACCAGAGTGACTGACATAGCCCGCACAATCGCTAAAATAAAGTGGCAGTGGGCGGGGCACATAGCTCATAGAGCTGATGGCCGCTGGGGCATTAAAGTTCTTGAGTGGCGACCACGAGCCGGAAGACGTAGCGTGGGCAGGCCTCCCATTAGGTGGACTGACGATCTGGTGAAAGTCGCGGGAGGTGCCTGGATGCTAGCGGCGCAGGGTCGGTCTTCGTGGAAATCCTTGGGGGAGGCCTTTGTCCAGCAGTGGACGTCTTTCGGCTGAAACGAGGACGAGGATGATGTCTTTATAACATAAGAGCGGGTAGTAAACATAAAAAAAATATTCAATGTGACTGATAAAAGTATAGGTAAATAAGTTAAATCTAACCTATAAATTATTGTTTTAGTTCGCAAATGCTATACATAAACAAAAAAATATGAGCCTTGTAAGGAAGTTTCGGTTTCGGTTTCGGTTTCGGCCGAAATAGACACCGTTGCCGAAATTCGTTTTCGGTTTCGGTTTCGGTCGTAAAACTAGTTTCGGTCGGACACTAGTATGTTTGCTAGGAAAGTCTCTAAGGAATTATCTTTTCATTGGCACCACAATGTCGTATACTAAGAACAAGAAGCGATATGGGTTGGCTTATAGTTGTAAGAGTTAAGTATAAGTACGAATCTTTTAAACACACCCATGGGCGTTTACTGTTTGCTATTAATGTTACATTAGGTATCTACAACATAATGAATGCCGATCTGACGACAGACGACACATATTCAGAGTATGTTTTTCCATAATTTAAATGTAATTTATATCATTTAAAAGGTAAATACAATTCTTTGCATACGTTTATCGCCTCAACTCTTGCTGCGCGACATATACTAATTTTCATAACAAATATTTTTTATTTGCCTAACGTATGAAAAGGATTATTTTTCATCTAAATTCTCATTATGATCTTCAGTAAAATTACAATGTTTACAATAAAATAATTGTTTGAAAATTATAAATAACTTGAAAAAATCGAACTGCCTAAGTGCCTAAGGCGGGAATTGAACCCACGACCTTCCGCTTGCCGGGCGACTGCTCTTCCAACTGAGCTAAGGTAAACGGCTACTAGTTCGTGATAGTACGTAAGTTCGTAAGTTTTTTTTCTAGCTCAAATAATAAGCAAATGGAATATTATTTATAAAAATTTTTCATTACTACATAAACTCTATTATTTAAGCTATCTAAAAAACCAAGTACCAACATTGTGACGCCAAAAATGAGAGCAATACGAAGCTTCAAACTCTCAGAGAGCCAAAAACAGCCGAGCGGCTTGCAAAGGTTGCTCTCACCGTAAGGTTAGCGCTCCAACTTCTTAAGCTTATAAAAAGGCGAAGGAACGTCTATTTAAATAAAACTTGTAATAGTGGTTTCATGTGTTCCTTGACAATTGATTTGACTTAGAAAAAAGTTATAAGAAAACGTAGAATTCCTTTAAAATTGCGATTATTTGACTCACGAAATAGCGTACATATTTTTTCTCGGGTGTCCCCTATTTCGTGACACTACCGAATCAAGGATATTATGGATAACATTTTGATGCTTGGTTTTTAAATAATTATTTATGATAATTTAAATGTAAGTTATGAAACAAATAATACAATTATTTAAGTTTCTCATGACCTAAATTCGGTATATGTTTCGTTCACTAGAATTTATACGACACGAGTTTGAAGTTCACATATATGACCAATTTTAAGATAAATTAGCATAAGTAGTACCAGCATAATTTTGGTTTTATTTCGATTTGTTTTATTTATCTTTGTTTATTTGTATTGTATATTGGATAGATAATAGTTAATTGACACATTTTGACAATAATCCATGAATTTTACTTGGGGAATTTGGAATAATCAGTATCACGAAACAAGGAACCGTATTATTGTTACTTTTTTCCAAGTTCGTGATATATAAATGTAAGGTAAACGGCTACTAGTTCGTGATAGTACGTAAGTTCGTAAGTTTTTTTTCTAGCTTAAATAATAAGCAAATGGTATATTATTTATAAAAATTCTTCATCACTACAAAAACTCTATACTTTAAGCTATCTAAAAAACCTAGTACCAACATTGTGGTGCCAAAAATGAGAGCAATATGAAGCTTCAAACTCTCAGAGAGCCAAAATCAGCCGTGCGGCGTGAAAAGGTTGCTCTCACCGTAAGGTTAGCACTCCAACTTCTTAAGCTTATAGAAAGGCGAAGGAACGTCCATTTCAATAAAACTTATAATAGTGGTTTCATCTGTTCCTTGACAATTGATTTGACTTAGAAAAAAGTTATAAGAAAACGTAGAATTCCTTTAAAATTGCGATTATTTGACTCACGAAATAGCGTACATATTTTTTCTCGGGTGTCCCCTATTTCGTGACACTACCGAATCAAGGATATTATGGATAACATTTTGATGCTTGGTTTTTAAATAATTATTTATGATAATTTAAATGTAAGTTATGAAACAAATAATACAATTATTTAAGTTTCTCATGACCTAAATTCGGTATATGTTTCGTTCAGTAGAATCTACATGACACGAGTTTGAAGTTCACATAAATGACGAATTTTAAGAGAAATTAACATAAGTACTACCAACGTAATTTTGGTTTTATCTCGATATGTTTTATTTATATTTGTTTATTTGTAGTGTATATGAGATAGATAATAGTTAATTGACATAATTTGACAATAATCCATGAATTTTACTTGGGGAATTTGGAATAATCAGTATCACGAAACAAGAAACCGTATTATTGTTACTTTTTTCCAAGTTCGTGATATATAAATGTATAGTGTTAGGTAATTTTATGACACATACCATCAAAGACATCGACATATTTTTTAGTTTTTAATACTTACCTACCTGAGAAATTAATTAATTACTTACTTTTTATTATGAGTCATTGGCGTATCTGGGGTTATTTTCAGGCCCCCCCCCCTACCCTCACTTGAAGCAGCTCCAGGGGTGGGATTAGGGGGAAAGGGGGGTTAGCCCTCCCCCCACATTTCTAATGACTTGTATAACTATTTTTATACACGTATCGTCAGAAATAACAAATCAAAATTTTATGGGGGGGGGGGGGTGGAAGGTTGTAAGTTGTAAGTCACCCCACATTTCTAATATTTTCACATATTGTTAGAATTAACAAATCCAAATTTTATACGTAGGTACGTACCTAGCTAGTCTCACATTATTTCTCATAAATATTTAAGGTACGTAATATCGTCAATTTCACACAATTCATTTATTCTAAATATACATTATCGTTTTTAAATTTATTAAACCCTTAATCATTATTAAAATTTCCTAACTCGATGCATAAAACCGTATCCCGAAACAGGGGACATGAGTTCACGAACTTAGAAACCGAGCAAAATTTTATCACGAAACAGGATCCAAACAAGAGGTCCGCAGAATAATTAATATTAAAAAAAGTTCAAACTATATAACTATAATTTATGTATTAAGTTACTGTCAAAAGACCAAAGTTTAGCATACAAAAGCTTTCATACTGATATCATGCTTGGTTATTTTTAAATAAAATGTTAAAGTCGTAAGAGCCTTAATATACCGAAGTAGGGGGCACTTACCTTACTTAGACACTGGATGAACACGTCGATTTTTCGTCGTCGTTTTCAAGTTATTTATAATTTTCAAATTAGTTTGAGATGCGACTCCAAACGCTAAAAATTTAATAACAAAATAATTGTTTTCCCGGGACAGATAGAAAATGTTCCTTTTCCAGAGCTTGTTCTAGGCATGAAGCTACAGATAAAAATGGAGGCCACACTCCGAATACCTACTTGAAGCACAAACTAAGATCACTATCTCACTCTCTGTGGGCAGACTCGCTCTTTCTTAACAAACAAAAAATATAAAATTGCTCAAATTCAATTAAACCAATGTAAAATCTTTATTTCTTGACATAGGTATCATTAAAAATGATAAGTGTAATTACTGGTAAAACGTTTTAGGAAGAAATTACTGTAAAAAATGTGAAAAATGTTTACAATGATCCAATGTCAGAAATCACGAAATAAACACTTACGCGTGGAATCTTATGTCACTTCCAGGACACCACGTACTACCGCAACCACGCACTACAAAATTTTGCACCAATTCTTATGATAAAACAATGATTATTTCCTGTAAACAATCTCAAACGAAATTAACTGCTTAATAAACAAAATAGTAAACAACCGCCATGATGGGCCGGATCGGGCCGATGTTGCCACATGGTACCGATTACCCAGGAATTGGGATTGTAATTCCCTGATTCGCCAACACATTAAGCCTAAATGGCCGACAATTTTGTGATTTTTTATTTAACTAGGTAATCTTAGTTTCAAATATTAATTATTTATTTGTTTAACTTCTGATTTGGTTAGTGAATTGGCTATTTCGAAGAATTTACAAGGAGATTTAATTCAGAAGATAGCAATACTACAGTTCACACTAAAAAGAGAGGTAGGGCCGCAGAGAGCGAGATAGATATAAGAAGGTATTTGACTCAAGTTTTTGTTCCAACTTTGCCCTCCATTTTTATCTTTAGCTTCATGGTTCTAGGAAACATGGATAAAAAATCGAAACCAAAATAAAACTTTATAAAAAGATCAAACTGTCACTTTGGCGTTTGTTTCAATCTGTCACTGTCAATGTCATTTTGACGGCTGACTTGCAAGGTGTTTTCTTTCTGGATTTTTCTTCGATTTTCTAGATAAACCTGACTGAGTGCATCTGATTCACGCGCATTACAGAAACAGTTTATGGATATCTATTTAAAGCCAGCCATTATCTATCTCAGTGTTCGTCGAGCGTCTTCAGCTAGTTGTAAACATAACCTCCGAAGTTCAACATGAGTTCCAATCAACAAAATAATCCTCCAATCGCTGGAGCTATAACTTATCCTTCAAGAAGTGAACAGGATGTTCAACCAGTTCCAATTCAGCCACGGCAGCCCAGAAATCTACAGGTAAAATAGAAATTAATTACCAAATCATTTCATGTAAATGTCAAGTTACTTTTGTATAGGGCATGTTGAACCTATGTTTTTGGCTATCCTCATTCCAGGGTCTTCTCAGATTCGCCATGGAGGCCACAAAAGCGGAGGACGCTCCAGGAAATTCAGATTTGGGACCAATGGATGAAGAGGTATGTTTGTTTATTTGTTACACTGACTATTAACAAAATGTTTTTAATAAAAACGCAACATTGCACTCATAACGCACTAAAGAGGCACTACTAAACTGTAATGTTGTCAAAAGGGTTTGTAAAGTTTAGTTTTCTTTGTGATTTGGTATTGCATCATCCAATTTAAAGCGTTTTGATGAGTCAACAAAAATGTCATACCTAGTAATTTAGGCTAAACCTTTTAATTAAGAAAACCTGTCTCACCTTAAAATAAGTAAATTAAAATATATTTGTCTATTTCAGAGACGAAAGTTCCTTGAAGAGGCTCTAAAGAGTCTAACGGTGAACTTAGCCGAGGTCCTACAGAACGCCATCAGGGTGCTCACCAACCAGGAAAGGATAAGAAGCATTAAACAAAACGACACAGTGCCAGAAGATGTGGTCTCTTCGTTTAACAACCTCTTGATGTTTATTGACGATATCGATGTTGCTAATGGTTAGTATTGTAGTTATGTTGCATTGTCATGCTAATTTTTTACAGCTGAAAGGCTGTGGCGAGCCGTGCATGGTTTTGATTTAGGTCTTAAGGCTGCGAAACTCACATTACAACTAACTCTGTTTTTATAAATGAGATGTTATAATCCAGGTCTGCTGTCCTAAGTCTTCATCATCATCATCATTTCAGCGACAGGACGCCTAGCTCCCCCAATGACTTCCACATCGCACAGTTGTAGCGGCCTACATCCAGCACCTTCCTGCTACCTTTAACTGTCTTAAAATTACACATTCTGCACAAATCAACTTGCCCTAGTCACAAATTCACAATACATCTTGGAGCACCACACTTGTGTGTCCCTGTCTCTTATATTTTTTTTTATTATATGGAATAAAGACATTTTTACTTACCCAGAAAATTAAATGTGGTGTCCTCATGTCCTCTCTAAATTCTTATCATATCACTTATACTCAATGTTCAAATATCACAAATTAGGTAATAGCAATATGCACATTCTGATATTTTTTTAAACACAAACTTTAAATCAATCACATTTCATTAACCCATTATAGACTGAGTTTTCTTAAAGTGTCAGATTTTTGTTTTTTTGAAATGTGTTCATAATTATGGTCTACATAATGCTATACAAGCATAAAAAAAATTATTCGACCTGTAATCTGGAAAAAAAATGCTGGTACCATATGGTACCGCTAGCCTCTTACCGTGTCAGTTGGTTAAAACATAACTTTATCATGGACTTTATAAAAATTGGGTATATTATATATTTTATTATTATTATAATATGTATTAATATACAAGCAAATAACAGGAGTGATATTAAATGTAAAAAAGCTGTATATTGGGTAAGCAATATTCATTTTTATCTTTGAATATTCAAAAATTTGGAATGGAGCTTGGCATTGCACGCTGCACATAGCCCCACGTTACATTTTCTATACTCTGATATTGTTCGAGAGTTGCATTTATCTTGAGTTCGTTCTATAAATTTCTGCTTCGTCTTGGGACCTTCGTGGTCCTCCAAAACTGCCAATGTTTGTGAAAGTTACATCTAAAATAAATAAAAACCTATGGTTTTGTAAAGTATAGGAAATTATTTTACTTTATCTTCCTGTATACCATATATACCATTGAATATATCACATACTTCCCAATAAATACAGTAAAAACTAAAAATCATAAAATAATTAAAAAGACACGGTAAGCGGCTAGCGGTACCGTACGGTACCAGTAATTTTGACATACAATATTTCCCATTATTATTACCTATCGACGTAATTTTACACCATTTCACAATAAAAGCACTTCTGATTTTGTTACAATCACACAAAAAAAATATGATCACTTACTTTTATGGCGCGTCAATTTTTAAGAGAAAATTTTGATGCGCTCACTTCAATCATCAATTACACACAACTGAAAAGAATAACTGTCGATTTTTATTCCTATTAGCATAGACCATATCTATTGGCTACGATTTGCATCAATCATAGCACTGCATCTTTTCACATGTTAATTTATAGAGCCAAATTATAACACACATAAAAGTGGTACCATATGGGACCGCTAGTCTATAATGGGTTAACTAAACAGGGCTTCAAAGCTAAATATCCATTACACACTAAAATTATTATTGGTATAATACCCTCATTTTTTGGTGATGGTACTACAAGAACTGCCAGATATAATCTGTACTTTATTTATTTATTAGTGATTAAGGCAATGGAATTAAAACTGCATACTGCTTTATGAGTCATCCTAACAACAGAATCAGAATCATGTGCAATTTTTTTTAAATAACTTTTAATTTCTATGCGGTTCATTTCGATTTTTAGCTGTGAATGCAGATTTATAGGGCTAAGAAATCCTTAATATACAGTCCAAAAATTTTTGTTCTACGACATAGTAGTAATAGTACGCCGGCTGCGCTCGGTTCCGATATAGTGACGTCACGCGGCCCTGCGTACGTTGACTTTTAGCGGCAAAAACGGCCTATGTTTATTACTTAATATCTTCGTAAGTAATGGTCCGATTTGGATAATTCAAAAATATATATCTTTCTTTTGTCTTAAAGATTAACGTAGATACTTGTTTTATTGAATTTTCTTCAACAGTAATGATCCTCATTCCAGATTTCTACAAAATGGGCGGGTTCGCGATTTTCCCAGTGTGCTTAGGCTGCGAGAACGACGAAGTTCGCGTGAACGCTTGCTGGGTCCTTGGGGAACTGTGCCAGAATAACCCGTACTGCCAGGCGCGAGCGCTTGAGTGCGGGCTACTGGACGTGCTGCTGAGCTTGGCGCAGACCGAGCAGGGCACTGCGTTGGCCAAGTGCCTGTACGCTATATCATGTGAGTTGTTTAAGTTCTGTTATTCTTTACTAGCGGCCCGTCCTGGCTTCGCACGGTTGCAATGGAGTTTCTCGGCTTTTCTCTTTTATAATATGCATGTTTTATAAACCTTCCTCTTGAGTCACTCTTTCTATTAAAAACCGCATCAAAATCCGTTGCGTGGTTCTAAAGATCTAAGCATACATAGGGCAGACAGCGGAAAGTGACTAAAACAAGTCACATGGTACGTGGTTTGGATTAGGAGTGTCTTCATGGGTGCTCAGGGAATGCCAGAGTAACCCGAACTGCCAGGTGCGTTCGATGGAGTGCTTTGTTAGTAGTTTGTTAGTCCTAGTAATTTCTTATTACACAAATTACTAATAGTCCCGTTAGCCCCTCGTACTGAGCTAAATATGCTTGTGTCACGAGTGAGCTCACCACAATAGTCGAGCGGCGGCGGGGACCGAACCCGCGTTCCCCGGTCGAGTCGGCCAGTCCGACCCCTTCACCGTTCGGCTATCGTGGCTTCGGCTTAGCTTGCTGGGTGCTCGGGGAACTTTGCCAGAATAACCCATACTGCCAGGCGCGAGCGCTTGAGTGCGGGCTGTTAGATGTGCTGCTGAGCTTGGCGCAGACCGAACAGGGCACTGCGCTGGCCAAGTGCCTGTACGCTATATCATGTGAGTTCTTTTCGCCCTGGCTTCGCACGGTTGCAATGGAGTTTCTCAGCTTTTCTCTTCTATAATATGCATGTTTTATACTATAAACCTTCCTCTTGAATCACTCGTATCTATTTAAAAAAACCGCATCAAAATCTGTTGTATGCAACTAAACTGTTGTTCTAAAGAATCTAAGCATACATCGGGACAGACAGCGGAATGTGACTAAAACAAAGTCACATGGCACGTGGTTTGGATTAGGATTGTTTTCAACTCTCTGCTGTATGTTTTAGTCACTTTTTGGCAAAAAGGCTTTTGAAAAGGGCATTTACACGTCTCAGTTAAACCCAGTTGGGGATCCATTAGTTTCATTTTAGTGTCTTACCACAATAACATGTTATCTCTAGGAGAAAGTGAATTGCTGAATTTTGTGAAGTGAATTTCCTGATCTGCTTCCCACTACTATGTCCCGACTCCCAAAGAAGTGATGGATCCACGTTATTTGGGACGTGACGTGGAAAACGGCGTTTTAACCAAAAGATATCTACTGCTGTTATACAGTGTGTCCGGGCATGTAGTGATCAAACTTTAAGGGCGTAATCTATGGACAATTTTATCGATGAAAATACTTCAAATTTGGGCCCTGACCCATTTCTTGAAAAATTACATCGATTTAAGTTTTTAATTTTTAGTTTACACCTCTTCTTTAAAAAACAAGTGAAAGCGTGGGTAGCTTAACATTAATAGGCAAATATTTTATATCATGCGATAGCCAATAAAATTATCTATTAGTAGAAGAAGAAAGCAGACACAAGTCTCATACATTTTATGGGAGTAAGAATGGATTTAATTAGAAAAATACATTACTTTTTTCACTTCTTTTTCAGTTATTTTCCAACACAAGAAAAACCAGGTCGTTAAGGTATGTTTTATTTGCATTGTATTTTTAGTATTTGAGCTATTCTACAAAACGAATGTAAATTTATTAGTCTACGTCTATTAGTTTCGACGTAATTGTTGAACAAAGATACCCCTTCCNGTAGAATAGCTCAAATACTAAAAATACAATGCAAATAAAACATACCTTAACGACCTGGTTTTTCTTGTGTTGGAAAATAACTGAAAAAGAAGTGAAAAAAGTAATGTATTTTTCTAATTAAATCCATTCTTACTCCCATAAAATGTATGAGACTTGTGTCTGCTTTCTTCTTCTACTAATAGATAATTTTATTGGCTATCGCATGATATAAAATACATATTTGCCTATTAATGTTAAGCTACCCACGCTTTCACTTGTTTTTTAAAGAAGAGGTGTAAACTAAAAATTAAAAACTTAAATCGATGTAATTTTTCGAGAAATGGGTCAGGCCCCAAATTTGAAGTATTTTCATCGATAAAATTGTCCATAGATTACGCCCTTAAAGTTTGATCACTACATGCCCGGACACACTGTATAGTCTGTCCACCGAACGGGAAGTTTACGCTTACCGTTGTTAAAGCAGACAATAAATTATTTTAATTGATTTGTTGGGAGCAGATTCGCTACCAACCGGTCATTATGGAAATCATAGGGGGACGTCCTATGGCTCAAATGATGACAATGAATTGTTTATTCTTCTAGGTTTGTGCCGCGAGTTTGAGCCGGCCTGCCGAGCGTTGGTGGCGGCAGGAGGCTGCGCCACGCTAACCCAACAGCTGTCGGCCAGCGACCTGCAGGCTCGCACCAAGGCCGCCTTCTTCATCAGGCACCTGTGCCAGCACCGGCTTGACGCTAGAGGTATGTCGCATAGCTACACTATAACTAGCAGAGTAAATACAAATGAGTAGGTCATCTTCATAGAAACGCACGGGCGCGGTTTGTATGTGAGCGCGCCAACACGAATACGGTGCGCACGCACACTCTGACAAAATTTAGCAGGGAGCCAGTCGTGGTTGCGCCGAATTTTGTCAGTGTGTGCGTGCGCGCCGCATACGTATTGGCGCGCTCACATACAAACCGCGCCCGTGCGTTTCTATGAAGATGACCTACTCATTTGTATTTACTCTGCTATAGGCCTCATGAGGGCTCAAGGTCATCCATAGGGCGATGGAGAATGCCATGTGTGACCGAGTCAGAAATGAGGAGATTCGCAGAAAAACCAAAGTAAGACATAGCCCGCAGAAGTGCCAAACTTAAGTGGCAGGGGGCGGGGCACATAGCTCGTAAGCTGATGGTCGCTGGGGCAGAAAAGTTCTCGAGTGGCGACCATGGACCAGACGACGCAGTGTGGAAAAGGCTCTCACTAGGTGCTTATTTCAATCTGTACTATCTTATCGGTTTTAATATTGAAATTCAGCATGTTATTGATGTATTTTTGTAATTACTTTTTTTTTAACCCTTCAAGTAGCAGCGAATCAAGACACAACAGAAATTAATTGTTACCACAGTCTCATGCCATTAGGGTTCCATGAGTTAACTTGAAATCATTTGTTAAACTTTTATTTGCTACTCACCCTTGTCATAAACATCCTACTAATATTATATGTATATGCGAAATTTTGGATATCTGGATGTCTGGATGTTTGTTACTCTCACGCAAAAACTGCTAAACGGATTTTGATGAAACTTTACAGTATTATTGTTTACAGTTAACCCAGAATAACATAAAATTTATGACAATCCGTGACAGACTAAATTTCACGCGGGTGAAGCCGCAGGCAAAAGCTAGTCTTTCATACATTTATAAATGACATAATTAATTTTATAAATTTTTGTTCCAGAACAATTCATCGCACAGAATCTCGTCCAAACCGTCACAGAGCAAATCAGGTCCGGCCGCGACGAGGCCACAGAACATCTCCTTAGCGTCCTCGATGTCCTGACCAGCGACTTGGACCGGCGAGTCCTGGCCCAGTGCTCGGACCCTAGTCTCGGCCTCAGGAAGGTGCTGGAAGACACACTACTTCACGAAGAAGAAAAGAAATCCTGTCAGGAACTTCTGACGAGGGTCTTCGACAGCAAACCTGTTCCTTTAATGAAGGAGGAAGAGCCGGAGAGATAAACTGTGGTGGATAGTGACAGTGAAATATAAGATTTTAAACTTTCGCGTTCCATTTTAACTAAAATACAGAGTGTTAGGTAAATGAGTATATGAGCCGACACTAGCCCATGTTAACATGGGCATATAAATGGTATGGTGAAGTCAGAAATTTGATATCATCATTTTAATTTTTTTTATTTTCATACAAAATAAATTTAATAAAATCTGATTTGTATGAAAATTAAAATAATTAAAATGAAGATATAAATGGCAATGCCAGATTTTGTATGGAAAGTGGCGTCTTTTTTTTTTCGCGCGGCCATCGACCAAACTTTGTTTTTTGATTACAAAATAGTATAATAAAACAAACTTACTATGGCATGTATATCTCTAAACTCAGTCTGAACTGAGTTACGAGCATTAGAAGTTTGATGATTTTCATACTAAGTAGATTTGCTTTTTGTGCGCAAGTTTTGTAAGAAATTGCAACAAAATATTGCGCTATTTTTTTATTGCGCTGATTCTGCTCCATATTGATGTCTGGAGCCTTTAATGGATGATATTGTTTGTTTACACATACAATCTCACTATTTTGTTGCAATTTCTTACAAAACTTTGCGCGCAAAAAGCAAATCTAGTATGAAAATCATCAAACTTCTAATGCTCGTAACTCAGTTCAGACTGAGTTTAGAGGTATACATGTCATAGTAAGTTTGGTTTATTACACTATTTTGTAATCAAAAAACAAAGTTTGGTCGATGGCCGCGCGAAAAAAAAAAGACGCCACTTTCCATACAAAATCTGGCATTGCCATTTATTACTATGGAAACCGCTGGGAAGGGGTATCTTTGTTCAACAATTACGTCGAAACTAATAGACGTAGACTAATAAATTTACATTCGTTTTGTAGAATAGCTCAAATACTAAAAATACAATGCAAATAAAACATACCTTAACGACCTGGTTTTTCTTGTGTTGGAAAATAACTGAAAAAGAAGTGAAAAAAGTAATGTATTTTTCTAATTAAATCCATTCTTACTCCCATAAAATGTATGAGACTTGTGTCTGCTTTCTTCTTCTACTAATAGATAATTTTATTGGCTATCGCATGATATAAAATACATATTTGCCTATTAATGTTAAGCTACCCACGCTTTCACTTGTTTTTTAAAGAAGAGGTGTAAACTAAAAATTAAAAACTTAAATCGATGTAATTTTTCGAGAAATGGGTCAGGCCCCAAATTTGAAGTATTTTCATCGATAAAATTGTCCATAGATTACGCCCTTAAAGTTTGATCACTACATGCCCGGACACACTGTATAGTCTGTCCACCGAACGGGAAGTTTACGCTTACCGTTGTTAAAGCAGACAATAAATTATTTTAATTGATTTGTTGGGAGCAGATTCGCTACCAACCGGTCATTATGGAAATCATAGGGGGACGTCCTATGGCTCAAATGATGACAATGAATTGTTTATTCTTCTAGGTTTGTGCCGCGAGTTTGAGCCGGCCTGCCGAGCGTTGGTGGCGGCAGGAGGCTGCGCCACGCTGACCCAACAGCTGTCGGCCAGCGACCTGCAGGCTCGCACCAAGGCCGCCTTCTTCATCAGGCACCTGTGCCAGCACCGGCCCGACGCCAGAGGTATGTTGAATAGGTATACTATAGGCTTCATGAGAAGGCTCAAAGGAACGTGCTATGCGTGACCGAGTCAGAAATGAGGAGATTCGCAAAAAGTGGCAGTGGGCGGGGCACACAGTTTGTAAGGTGATGGTCGCTGGGGCAGAAAAGTTCTCGACTGTATAGTATGAGCAGGTTTCCCACTAGGTGGACCAACGATCGTGAGATCTTGAGGGTCGCTGGAAGCCTATGTTCAGCAGTGGACGTCCTGTGGCTGAAATGATTATGATGAAGCCTCATGAGAAGGCTTAAGGTCACCCAAAGGGCGAGAAATCCTTGGGTGGCCTTTGTCCAGTTGTCGACTTTTGTCTCAAGCGAAGGAACGATAGCTACACCTCAAGGTTTGTGCTGCTTCTTCTAGCCTGGATGCCGCTCCCAAACCTCCCGCATTGGCTCGGTTATGCGCTAGTAGTGTAGGGCTTTGGAGAGACTGGGTACTTCGCGAGGTTATACGAGTGTGTGGAAACGCGCTTCGGAGTTCGGCCTACTGTCTCTAAGAGCGCTTTCACATTTAGGCGACTTAGATGTTACCGCAGAAATTAATTGTTACCGCAGTCTCATGTCATTAGGGTTCCATGGCAGAGAGCAGAAATAACAGGAGTGGAACTGACAGGCAATCCCCTCTAGCAATGTAAGTAGACCAGTGGTTCACTCAGTTTATAAAAACTAGTTGCAGCGCCACCAATGACATATGGCATGTATTTAAATGATCTTTTTAAATTAGCAAAAACGGCAAATAAAAAAATCTAAATGGTCATCTATTTTAATGATTGATCCTCTTTCTTTGAGACATAAAATAAATGAAATCGATCGATATTTTAACCTCTTTTGAACTACGCAAAAAAAATTTGAGATGTAAAAATTATATCTGATCGTTACTTGTTGGTCCTCAAAAATAAAAGAAATGAGCACCAAATATTCAATATTGTGATACTTTTTTAAATAATTCGATTTGTATAAATTATTTTTTGTCTATATCAAATAATCTTCAAAATAATTATGTTATGGTACTTATTTTTATTAAGTTGTAGTCAAAGGATGGAAACTATTTAAAGGCACTTGATGTTTAAAGATTTTCTTTTATTAAAAAAGCATACTTAACACGTTCACACTGCGTTATCGGGTCAAATTGACCTTAGGTGCTGGATGCGTTGGTGCGGGATGATATATTCGGACTTTTCAGTAGTACGAAATATAAATATTGTTTTGCAATTGTTTCGTCAAACACAGTAAATATTTGGAAAAAAAAACTTATCAGGTCCTTACGACCCGATGTCGCACTAAAAGTAAACAAATATCGTTTAGTGCTTTTATCGTGTCTAATCGACCCGTTGACAGATGACTTTATGGTCACTGATCACGGTCGAGATCGGTATACTAAGAGAAAATCAACCTTGCGATTTGAAAAAAATAAAGAGGTAAAAATTATGATGTCGGGTTCAGGGATGTCAGAAGTAAGAAATTATTTTACATAGCGCCTCTAGTCCCAAACTAAGCAAAGCTTGTAATTTAAACAAACATGGTAATGTACCATTCTGCTTGCTTATTGGCCGCTAAGCCCTTGGCCAACTCAGTAACCAATGACGAACGATTGTCACTCAACCACAAAGTACCGCGTAAATTAAAAAATATTTTTTAATTAAAAATATTAACCAATAATGTTTTTTGTTAGATCAAATATATTTTAAAGTTAAGTTATACATAGATCGAAATGTATTTATTAGGTGATCAATATTAAAAGGCAAACTTGATATAAAAATCATCAAATTAACAAAATTAAAGATCAATAACTAAAAAAGAGGATCAAATATTATTTTTGTTTACCAAATATTAAAAGAGTATATTAAACATGAATATTATGTTACCTTTAATGAAGATCATTCATAATTTATCCGTAGATCAACTAATATAGACCCAATAATTAATATAAAGATAAAATATAATAAAAAACATCATTTATTTTTAAAAGTGCACAAACAAAAAAGATCAATTAGTTTTTAGAGGATCAAATAATATTGTCCCAATAAATAATAGCAATTCTGACTTCCACTCACTGATAAGACGTCCACTGCTGAACTTAGGCCTCCTTCAATGATTTCCACAAAGGCCGGTTGGTAGGTACCTGCGTCCAGCGCCTTCCTGCTACCTTTATGGCTGGTTTTAGAATCACGCTGACGCACTCTGACCGTGAGCCGAAATGTATGAAGCGTCGGCGCCGAGCGATCAGCGTCACTCAGGAACGTTCCCTTCAATTACATACATATTGATCTGTCAGCGCCGACGCGATCAGCGAGCGATCAGCGCGATTCTAAAACCAGCCTATGAGTTTTGAGGGAGTAAGATCAGTGGCGGATTTACAGATTTGCCGCCTGAAAAGCGCAAGGTGGACCGACGACGTGTATAATTTTGTTTTTTGTTAATTTAATCAATATGTTCCTCCAGGGTGACAGCGGCGGTCCCCTGACGAAGGTGGATGTAGATGGCAAGCCTACCATGATCGGCGTCGTCAGCTTTGGATCCACTGCGGGTTGCAACAGCCCTTGGCCTTCAGGTAAGCGAGCCACACATAATGGGGTTTGGATTCTGCTGCATGAATGATGGGGAAACCGCAGTTTCGTGTTTTTGGTAGAGCCAGTAGAGGCGAGAAAATAAGCTAATAGAATACTTTATTGCATGCCACGTAAACATACAGACTTAAAAAGAAAATACAAAATCGAAACGCCACAGTTTCTATCTTGTATTTTCTTCGAGAAAACCCAAGGAAAACAGCTGTTAACATTAAAATAATTATTTTTTCCAGCGTACGTGCGCCCCGGCCACTACCACGACTGGTACGTGTCGGTGACCGGCATCAACTTCGACTGGAAAACCGAGGACCTGATTCCCGTAACAGAGGAATCTTCCTAGGAAGACTCGTTCTTAAGTCCGGTCGCCGAGCGTCTAGAATTTCGTCCAATGACCCCAAGCTACCCATCCTTATCGCTCGCGCGTAATTTATATTGCTGTCGCAGCAGTGTTAGTGCTGTGCAATGGACGAAATTCTACGTGCTCGGCGACCGGACTCTAGGCACTCTCTGAAGACGCAGCGATGGCGCCCATCTTCGTCATGCTTAAATTGATTAAAACCGACTCGCAAAAAATAAGCACTAAAATAGAAAAATACATACATAGAAAAAAACATAACACTTCAACGGAGAACCTCTTCCTTTTGTTGAAGTAGGTAAAAAAATAGTGTTTCAAGAGTATTTTGTCTGTTGCAAAAAGTAACCGTAAGCTTTTCCACCAATAAATTAATTTTTAACATACCCTCTTAAGTTTTCATGAAATAATTTTTAGTTTCCTACATAAATAGTAGAAGATAGCATGTTATAGTAGTAGGCTATAAAACCATGGTTCGTTTTGCTACTAGGGGTGAATGAAAAAAAAACGGTAGTTAGTAGAAATTCTTGTTTATTTCATTATAAACTAAAATGTTCACATTAAGATCACATCTTAAGTATACATAGGTACATTCTCAAATGCGGTGTAAATAAATACATACATCCAATTAATTTAAGTCCTAGACTAGAAGAGTACATGATTGTTATTATGACCGTAAATAAATTATACAACTTATTTTATAAATATGAGATGTGAGACAAATTGGAATTAAGTGCGAATTACACACAAAATAATGCATTCTTTAGTACATTTTTAAATATTTTCAGCATTTATTTTAAAGTAAAGGTAGGTTAGTAGTGAATAGCTACAGTTTGAAATTTGTAAGTACAGCCAGCCTCTAAATAAATGCCTTGCTCGAAGCATTAGTTGTAGAGTTGATGAGTTCAATCAAATCAATACGTTTTAACTAAAGGCCTAAAGTAGAGTGCCGACTCTTGCATTTAGCCTCCTTTTCTTCTAATAATAACGGTATATTAAACTGGTATTTTAAACACTATTGCCTCAATTTTGTACATTTACATTGATTGCGTAGTACCAAAGATTATTCGAACGTTGAGTACTGATACCGCAGTGGATAATGAGCACATTCACACTAACATAGTTCATTCAATCGCACGTCACTGCGTTACACTGCGTATGTAGTGGTGTTGTACGTACACACGACCACACAGTTAACTATCCATTTCCGTTTTCGCTCTCGCTCTAATCAAATGGCGATTCTTTGCGATAGAACGAAATGACATGACTAGCAATGGGCAGTTAACACTGTTGCCGATAGTACATTACTTGCAACCTGGTATGCGAACGAATAGTAGCACTGAATGCGATGTGTGCATGACACACACTCTTCGCGACGTAGTTTTTATTTTGATTACTTTGTGTGTGAATTTGTAATGCGACACTGGGTTTCGAACTCAGCGCATTAGTTGGCATCTCTCTAGATCTCTTGAAGACGTATCACTATCCCCTCTCTGATATCACTGTCATTAAAATAGCAAGACACGGGTGTTAACGCGACGTTTATGAATGAGTTACATTATGCTATGCCGCAGCCGTGGTCACAACCAGTCTGCTTGTGACCACGGCTGCAGCATACCAGGCGAAACGTCAAGCCGTGAGTACATAATGTAACTTATTCATAAACGTCGCGTTCAAGGCTGATTTACATGTATTATGTAGATAAGTATTAAGTAGGCAACTAAATTTTAACTTGATCTTTCTGTCAAGTTGGTGTGCTGGGCTTGTCACTTGACACGTTTTGACAAGCAGTTTCATAGTAAACAAGAGCTTGATGTTTGAAATTAAGGTAAAATTTAGCTAAGATGCAATTTGATCACTTAAAAATTTAGTTAAATACTTAACGATATAATACGTGCAACTCAACCTTAAGACCCGTGTCTTTCTATTTTAGTTGAAATGGAACGCGAAAGTTTATTATATTTCACTGTCACTATCCACCACAGTCTATCTCTCCGGCTCCTCTTCCTTCATTAAAGGAACAGGCTTGCAGTCGAAGACCCTCGTCAGGAGCTCCTGACAGGATTTCCTTTCTTCCTCATGGAGCAGCGTGTCTTCTAGCACCTTCCTGAGGCCGAGACTAGGGTCCGAGCACTGGGCCAGGACTCGCCGGTCCAAGTCGCTGGTCAGGACATCGAGGACGCTAAGGAGATGTTCCGTGGCCTCGTCGCGGCCGGACCTGATTTGCTCTGTGACGGTTTGGACGAGATTCTGTGCGATGAATTGTTCTGGAACAAAAATTTACAAAATTAATTGTGTCATTCATAAATGTTAAAAATTTATGAAAGGTGATTTATGACAAGGGCGAATAGAAAATAAAAGAAGTTTCATAAATTATTTCAAGTTAACCCATGGAACAGAGAGCAGAAATAACAGGAGTAGCAGCGCGCGTTTATTTCCATACAAAAAAATTTCGCCATTTCCTGAGGGGGACGAGGTAATGACATTTGTGTAACAGCTGATGGCGCTGAGACACTATCGATATTTTTGTCGATGAGAATCATTGCTCTATGGTTCATAGTCTATGGCTCGTTTAAAAAAATGATATGAATTAATTTATTATCCTATGGGAGATTCAATATTTCAGATCTCTATTTAAAGGAAAATACGCAAAAGTTTGGCATTTCTTCCCTAGCACGAATACGAATTGTGAAAGTTAAGAGTTATATGAAAAAAACTAAAAAGTCATTTATATAGGCTCTTAAANAAGAAATGATGAAAAGTAAATCTTACCGTACACCACATGCCGCAGAGAGCCAAACTGGCACTCTAAAAATTTTGCCATCTTGGCTGTAAAAAGCAAGACACAATTAGTTTCCGAAATGTTTATAAGTGTAGGGAAAAATGATTCTTGAAAACCACTCAGTAGTTCACTCAGTAAAAACTTATAAAATACAAGTTTCTAAGGCACGTTTCACTTGTTGTTCACCCGTTGGTTCACAATACTGGAATGATAAAGTAAACTTACCATCTTAACCCTTATTCAAATAAAGATAGATATATTACCACTTCGTTTACTTTTAAAAAAGGATCCTAATATTCGATATGGTAATACTTAAAGATATCGTGGTCACTCATTTATATTTTTAAATAGATTTTTTTACTTATCTATGCCATTTTATAACTTTTCAACGTCATTTGTCACTGTCAGGTAATGTCAAAGTCAATCAAACGGTTTTGTTGTCAAAAATTTCAAGTTTTTAGCGCGCGTTTTTGGTATTTTTGAAACTTTCTTCAACGAAAATTCTGATAAGTGTTTTTTCGATTCAAATTCCTAAACTATAACATTTATTGTATAATCTCACTTATAGGCAGCGTCTGCAATTGATTTATTCATATAATTTAGACATTTTAAAGAAGTGGTAAATAGTTTACCACTGTCCGATCCCGTCATGACAAAAGTTTGATGATTTATAAAAAAACGGTTGTTTTTTGTATGTGCACAAATAAAACTAAATAAATATTTTGAGAAATTTTAAGTTTTTTTTGTATTAACGTTTTGACGTTACGTAATTAGTGAATTGTTAGTTTCAGACTCAAGATAAGAATAATCATTGTAAGCATAATAACTAATATTAATAAATATATTTTTTATAAAAACAATAAAAAAATTTCATTCCCAAAATATTTAATAAAATATAGGTAGAACCAAGAGGAAGTCACTAGTCAAGAACCAAAAACAAACCAAGACGGACAATGGTAACTATTTTACCACCAACATTTAATAATTGGTAGGCATGAATGGATAATGGTAAATTATTTACCACCCAAAAAACTACCCCTTCCCCTATTTTTTTATTAATTTTGATCAAAAATATGAAATAAGTGACCCACAATTACCCAAAATCCACTTCAACTTTGTAAAAAAAATGCATACCAGCTCGCATTTGAATAAGGGTTAAACTTGTTATGATGTAATTAGTTAATTAAATATCACGCAAATTAGCGTTAAGTATCATTATCGATTAAGTTCGTTAATGTTCGCTTGAATATAAATATTGTTAATGACATAAGCAATTAACAAATCACCTAATTAGCAATGATTAAAAAATAGTAATTAGAAGATTAAATACCGAAGTAAAACCAAGTGTCTGAGTGAATAATAAAATTCAAACTCAGTCCAAAACACCCAAATAGGTAAAGCCAAATAGGTCTTGTGTACCTGTACCTAAAATAAAATATCTTACCCTGTCGGTATGGTACGCGCTCGTTAAGCCGGTACCCCCCACTAAAAGAGGGGCCTTCCCCTATCCACCACCCGGGGGATTTGCTCGATGGGTGACTGGTAACACCACTCGGGATCCAGATAAAAAAATTGCCGAAAAAAATGAAAAAACAATTAAAAAATCTAAAACACCTTAACCTGCCAGTATGGTACGCGCCGGTCAAGCCGGTACCCCCCATTAAAAGGGGGGCCTTCCCCTATCCACCACCCGGGGGACGCGCCCGATGGGTGACTGGTAACACCACACGGGATCCAGCTAACAAAAAAAAAAAAAACAAAAAATCACAAAACAATTGAAAAAAAAATGCTGGATTTAAGAAAAATAGTTTTAGAAACGGACAAATTGATTTATTATTTCGATTAAGTAGACTGTTTTGTATTTTTTCATTTATACAACTTGAAATTACGACGCAAAACATTTTTTGTCATTTGATTGTTGATCCGTAAAAGTTTCTTTTTTACGGATCCATTATTCAAAATTATTTTCCCTATTAATTGAACTTACATTTTTACCTATACCTAAGAGTATGTTGAAATTTAACACAATCATCACAAATAAAAAAAAATACTTTAACAGACGAAAACAAAAACCGATATAAAAAACGACCTGTGATTGTTTTCCCAACGAAAACCCGATACCTGGAACGTTAACGAATTAGACCAGTACCTCTAGTAGGAAAAACTTTCGAGTTCGTTTCGTTGCGTATTCAAAGTGTCATCGAAAAATTTTGTATGAAAAATTAAACAGCGCCCCCTATATTATAGCCGCCCTAGGGGGCGCTGTTTAATTTTTCATACAAAATTTTTCGATGACACTTTGAATACGCAACGAAACGAACTCGAAAGTTTTTCGTACTAGAGGTACAGGTTGTCAAATCTAATAATCGACTGACCAGTCGATTACCAGATTTTACAACCAGGCCTATTTCACTGACGATTCAAGAATCAAGTTTAAGAAAGACCTAAAGAAAGAAAGAAAAAGAAACTATGACCATACACAAAAATACGACGCTGGACAATTTTTTTGACATAGTCATTTCATTTTTAGTTTTAGGAAGACGTTAATTTAAGCCACAACATAACATTTTTTTGTGAAACATATTTTAGCATATTTTGAGTTTTAATTTTAATACTATTAGGTACTTCAAGTAAACCTGAAGGGTAAAATTTGTACAAAAACTGTAACTAAAACCATGCGACCTGTGATATTTTTTACCAACGAAAACTCGACTTCTAAAACCTCAATAAGTAATAGATCAGGTTGCTAAATCCAATAATCGACTGAACAGACGATTACCAGATTTGTCAACCAGGTCCATTTTATCAACGATTCAGAAATCGAGGATACAAAAGACGCAG